GGAAAGAGCTTGCCTAGCTGAAGGAATCACTGCATCATTGCTACTGCTGCTGCATTGCTTCTGATAGGCTGTAGTACTGCACCTTCCAATTTTATCCAGTTACAGAGCTTGCATTTTAAGGTGCTGGTTCTAATTCTGATCTGTTTAATAGAAGACAGAAAGTTTACCTGGAGATACACATCTTCAGAAACTCAGAGTGTTTTCACAGCTCCCTGTCCCTGCTGCCTTTCCCTTGTCTTTCAAAATTCTAGATGAAATCATTGTTTCCACCTGTCTCGTTTAGGTCAATGCCAGTAAGCAACAGAAAGGGTAAGTGTGGGCAGAATGTTGGACAGAATGTCAAATTCAACAAAAATGAGACACTTTTTTTCTCTGCTTCTTTTTTCTTGGACACTTCTTCACCCACAGTGCTTCACAGGTGCAAGTGGGTGACTGCAACAGTAAACTAGGAAAATCTAGCACTGTGGGAAGGAAAATAAGTTAAAAAAGATATTTAAGAATTTGGTTTACTCCAACCAATCCAAGATAAATAATTCTTCTGACCAAATAATTCCAAAAGGCTGCAGAGAATAGCATGAAAATCAAGAATAGCCAAAGGCTATCTGGATGCAAAATAGACAGGGCAACATTCCTTAGGGACAGGGAAAAACAGTGGGCAGTTGAGCCTACTCCTGCTGAGAGACTTTGCCCTGCTTCCAAATTATACAGAAGGGAAAGCCACACCAGAAACAAGGAATCCAGAAATTGAAAGACAAGAAGCAGATGGAAAACAGTGCTCACTTCAATAATCAGCTGGTGAGGACATGCTAAGTACCTGTCTCTAGACCAGAAAAAAAACCTTCCAGGTGATAAATAAGCTGGACAAGTCAGTTTAGAGAAGGAACTAAACCCCCACTTTTTATAAGCTCCTTTTTTTCCTTTGGCCTTATCTATTCTACTACCAAAGCCCCGCTTCAGTATTCAATAAAATGAAGCACCTGTGCAAAAGAGTTTGCTAAGAAATAATCCCAGCCATCATACCCATAAGCGCAGGGTAACACGGCAGCTCTCAGCCTGATTCTCCCTACTGGTTTCCCTGCGTTCCCACAGCACAGCAAGGTTTTATGCTGTGGTTCCATGAAAACCCCATTCAGACTATCTGCAAAGGTCCCTAGAATTGTATATAGAATTGTACAAATAAAATCCCCACCCTTAAAGTAACCACGAAACTTGGCTCCTTACTGAACTGTGTTGGCAATGACAAAATATATGATGACACCGTGAGATACATCTATGACATCACATTCCAAGACTATTGCATTACATCGTTTCTGCAGCTGGCATCATAACACTTCACAAGTTTCATATTTGTCTGCTATTTTAGAAATCATTCTAAAAAACTGTGGAATTGTCACAACAATTCTTCAAAGGTAGTTCAGAAAACTGCTCCTTGCAGTAATTTGGTACCTCAGCATAAACACGCTTTAGGAATCACTGCTGAGACCAGGCTGAACAATGGCCTAGAGATGTTAGGCAGGTTGCAACCAGTATGTGGATCCTTTCCAGGGAGTTATTCATATTTGGCCCAAAGTTTTTTCATGCTAATACAGCCCTCTGTTCCTGAAGACTGCCTCCTGCTCCTACTCTTCATTCTTTAGCATAATAACTTCAGGCGTCTATGCTCACACCATCTTTGTGACACTGCAGCAACAGAGGAATGGCTTGGCGCTGACAGCTTGTTGAACAAAGAACCTGGATTTTATGCTGAGTTTGGAAAAGAAAAAAAAATGGAAAGAAAGAACCAGAAACCATAAAAAAAACAAACCCAAAGCTCATTTGTTTCCAAGGGTTGTTTTCTTTCTTTTTTTTTTTTTTTTAACAGATTTACATGAATACTTCAAGTGAGGTAGAGGACTTCATTTCAGAACATCACATTCAATTTTATTTAAAGAGCAACTTTATCTGAAGTATTAAACATGCAAGTGACAACACGCATACAGGGTCACTTGTTTAGTCACAATCATGATGCTTGAAAGAGACAAAATTCATAAAAGAGCATTTTGATAATGGGCTTTAAGAAGATACAATGTCAGAAGTAGGGAAAAGGAAGACATTTTGGAAGATCCGAAGTTGTAGAAGAGGCTGTATTTAGGAAGCAGTTTAGAAATAATGAGACATGTGGATAGGGAATTAGGAAACAAAAAAACACTAAATAAGCCATTATATCTAAATTGGAAGAGAGAATCTCTCCACAGATGAGAGAACAATGAGAACAGAGGAGTAACAGTTTAACAATGAGGTAGAGCAAAAAATTTAGACAAACTGTATAGTTCTTAACCAGGTTTGTTGACTGAGGTGATGACTTTGGAAGAACATGTCAGTGATGATATAAAAATCAAGGCACAAACGCAAGTCCAAGCACCAGAATTTTTCATAAAACAAAAAAAGAAACTTGTAGATGTGAAGCAACAAACACCTGCAAGTTTTCAGAGAAAAACTTCTGCTGAAAGGAAACACTGAGACTTCTAGAAGCAACTGAGAACTTGGTGAAGTGTCAACTGACAAGGAAAGAGGGCAGCACAGCCACAAGAACATTCATGGTAGTTGTATCTTATTTAATGCACAAGGCAGTATAAACTAGGCAGACAAAGAGAATTAAGAATAGGAGGTAAAGAAAAGCAAGAATTCAATTAGATGTCATAGTACATAGGCCTGAGTGGAATTTGACACCCTTTGGTCAAGTATGAAGGAGAGAGGAGAGGTCAAAACCAGTAGCCTTTGGCATAAATGGAAAAGGCAGAGATAAATCATCCCAAGCAACTGAAATGAAAACAAAACAGTCAGAAAGCAGAGGGGAAAAAAAACCCCACAACCAAAAACATAATGAAGAAAAATATTCACTTGCAATAAAAGCTGCTGAGAAGTCAGGAGCAGAAATGAGCCCCCGGTTTCTAGCTTCACACCTTTCTAATAATTTGTGAGGGTTCTGTTAGTTGGCAAGCACACAGAAAGCCAACCAGTAAAGGTTCAGAAAGCCAGGACACTACAGGTGACTATAAGAACAACCTTCCTAAAGCAGAGTTTAGAATGTCCTGAGGAGACAAAGTACTGACAGGAGAAGGGGAGGGGAAAAAATAAAAAAAAGGAAGAACTGCAGACAACATGAACACAAAAAAGAACAGCACAAAAGGAGAGGAAACAAGAACCTCCAAGAGAAGAATCTTTTCAGTGCTTAGTCTCAGTTCATAGTAGGAAGGGATTACAGCAATAAAGCTATGTATATTAAGAAACTGTAGGGTTTTTTTTCCTTTTTTTTTTTTTTTAATTCACGCTTGATGAAACTGTTTTGCCTCAACAGTACTTTTTATTCTGAGGCACTTCTGTCCCAGGCTGAACTTGGGTTTGCAGCTCAGTGGCTGAGCTGGTCAACTGTCCAAGCCCCATGTCATCTGAAATGTTGACATAAAAGTTTCAAGCTCCCCCAGAGGCATACAGCTGCTTTGTGTGTCCAGGACCTCCTGCTAAATGACTTCTGTAATTCACCCAAACACCAGACATACCCTTAACGACAAGCAAGCGGTATGCTGCATTTGCAGCAACAGAAATACATGTCTTTGAGTCACTGAGTTTGAAGACATATGACCTCATATGCAATACAAGACCTGCTATAAAGCACTAAAACGTTGTTCTACCCATTGTCATTATCCTGGCAATTTCCCAACTTCATCTTAAACACATGGAGCTGCCGCAAAGCATAAGGTAGTCGAGATGAAAACAGGAATAGCAGTGTGAAATCTAGTGTCCTTTGACAACTTGGGGAACAAACTAGATAATATAAAGACTTCATTTACTCTCGGACTTCTGCATGTAGCTCTTGGAAAGCAGTTTATACCTGAAGAAGCCTGGTCTGACCTACAGCAGCTTAACAACCTTGCTAAAATAAAAACACTGATTAGCTGAGTTTGACTTTTATACTTCAGAACGCTTTTAGGCACACCTCCAAAGCTCAGTTCAACTGGAATTAAGTGGTGCATCATCCATATGGATAGGAAAGACCCATGAAGATTTCTGCTCCATGAGAATCACTGGAGACGCAGCACCTCTAATTTCAACAGAGGGAACTTGAAAGGCGCTTAGATACAGTACAGTTGTGCTCAGCACAAACACTTAAATCTGAGAAGAAAAACTACACCTTTTCAAACTTCACTATTACACTAAGTAGCGAATGGGTGAAATATAAAAGTACAATGTTCCATCTGCATCCACAACATTCACAGATAAACTCCAAATATGAAGGACCCTGGATCAGCTACATTAGCTGCTTGCTGGTGACACTGGGCTAAAGCACAGCATTACAAACAGAAGCCTAAGTTTTGGTATTGAAAACAAATTCAAGTCCCGCCATTGTTCACAGAAAAAGTTTTCAATTGGGAGGTTTTCTATCACACAGGACTTGACGGGACTAACTATGAAGAAGAGGCCATCAGTTGTATGTCACTCCACCTTTTTATAGACTATCTCAAAATGACTGTCAGAATTATGTCTGGAAAAGAAGACATCCATGTAACAACAGCAGATAAACTGGTGGTTTCATTAGCAATCTTCTCTTGAGATTACGCAGAACATGCAAAATAGCATTTGTGATTCTTTTCAGGTGGAGACCTAATCTTAAGCTCCTTAAATGTGTGCTACAATTAGTTCCTATAACTGAGTACACCAAAATTCTCTTCCAGCCCTCTCTATTTACCTTCTTTTTAAGAAGCAGTGGGATCTGTGCTTACCTCCCTCATCCCACAGAAACATCTGCATTGCTGACCTTGTCCTGAGACCCCCAACAGAGGTCTAAGGAGGCTGCTTTGGCACCAAGCTCAGGATGCTCCAGGTAGAATTACTTCCCCTGCCTGTGGCAATGGGAAACCAGTCACAGTACCACCATACTTAATGAGAACGCTAAATAGCAATGAGAGCTGCAGCGGCAATTCATGCTATCAAATAAATACACTGACAAAGGCTCAGCCAAGTCAATGTGCTAAATGGACAAGCAAGACATTCTCTCCTCGAATGAAAATCTGGTTTATGTGACGTGTGAACACCTGTTGGTAATCCACTTTGGGCCGCCTTTTTCTCCGTGACTGGCTTCTTGCACGGGTAGCACCAGCACTGGCACCCTCTGTGTGGGCAGTCCCGCTACCCACATCAGCTTCACCTCTGGCAGCCAGATGCAAACTGTCACTTGGCATCTTCTTTTCTCCTCTGCCCAAGCGTTTCTGCCTCTCACGATCATCATCTGCTCTCGCTCGTCCTGATCCAACTTTCAGTCCCAGTGTCTGAGAGTCATTCGTCAGGGCTAGCTCCTCTGAGACAGTCTTTGAGTCAGCTCCCCTCTTTACTGAGGACTCCTGCAGTTTGAGTCTGTCAAACAGCTGTAAAAGAACATTTATGTATATGACCACATTCATAAAACAAGCAAGGCCACTTGTTTGGCACTTCTATGTGGTATTTGTGTATACGATCCCAAATCAGAGCTCACAATACACAATTAGTGAAGAAACTTTACCAGAAATAAATACTATGTTTTCTTGCCAAAGTCAAAGCATGACTGGATCTCTTGCATGCGCATAAGCATCTTCATGTGACCACTGAGGAATTTAATTTGGGGAGCAATACTGATGTGCAGTAGGATTTAACTTTGGTCAGGAACAACAGAAAGCTACCAAGTTCCTCCATTAGCTCACTTTCCCCAACGCTCTTGTAATGTTGTCAGATAGTATTATAGAGATTTTCGTCCTTGTGTCCTTAGGCAGGACACGAATCTCTAAGATAAGGGGCCTCAATCAGCAAAAAAGTGTATACTGAAAAAACAATGGACCTTTGGTGTTCCCCAAAACAAATTAAAAGAGGCCGTGTGGGTACTCTAGGAGGTGAGCAGACCAAAAACAATCGAATAATAATAAAAGCTAGAGCAGCAGATCCAAAGCACCGTATGAACTCATTAACCTAAGAACACATGGTGCTGAAACTGGAAAAGAAACTGCTTTTACTCTGGCAGCAGGCAAGCTTTTATGAAATACTGACAAAGAAAATGGATTCTCGGTTAGCCTGTCTCTTCCCAGCAACAGGATGGAAAGCCAATCCCTGTAAGAGGGGGCTAAAGGAACAATGACAACTTGATTATTTTTAACTAATCTTTAAAAAAGGAAGGGTGGATTCTATCAGAAAACAGATTTAAATGGCTGGAATTTGAAAGCAAATTCCTGACAATGAAACTGTTTAAAAGTTTTTGTGATGCTTCTCTGATGTTCAAAAGGCCCACAGCGATGCCATTCAACAGGCACAGCACTGTCACATTTTTTCTCTTCATTGTTCAGAAGTTAATCTATCATCTTTTCAGTTCTCAACTTTGTAAACATCTTTTTTTTTTGCAGCTGGATCCTAGAGAATGCCTTGCTTTGGAGCAACATTCAGAATCTTGGGGCTCCACAGTACCTAGACTAAAAATTCAAGTGATCAAACAGACGTTTTGTTGGCTGGAGGCAAAGACTGTCACTCCATGAACATTAGTATCACAAGTCAGCATACTGCACTACGCAGTGGCAGCAACTGTGATCTGATATTAGGAACTCTAACATGGAGCTTCTGTAGCACCGAACCAAAGTATGGCCAAAATACTTTTTCTGACCTTCAAAAAGGTCAGAAAACTGTTTTTTCCCCTCCCAGTTCAAGTCATTTTAGAGTAATCTAGAATAAAAGGAGGTAAAATACTTCAAATGTAAATACAGTTTTCCAATCAACACTCCCCTTCTACTATTTTCAAAAGGGAGATACTAAAAAAAAAAAAAAGAAAAACTGGAGATGGTTACCTACCCGGGTTAGTGTAAGCTGAGGTTCTGTGTAGAAAGCTTTGCCCATTACTGGTTTCCTGTACGTCTCATCCACGTCTGTAAGGGCCTGGAAGAAGATAAAAGAAACAGACAGGTTAAAATGAAAAGAAAACATAAAGAAGCTTTGGACCAGCTTTGTGTCATGGCATTATGAAATTATGCTCTGAGAGAAAATCCATCCCAGGAACAAGCTGTGCTTTGGAGCTGGCTTCTCAGTTGTACTGAGGTATAAAAGCAACACCAAAGCCTAGCATCCATTCTGCATTACTCGCAAAATCTTTGCGAGCCTTGCCTGCAAAATCCTTCCCCGCAAAATCCTCCCCCTCCCGCCCCCATTTCCAAACTTTTCACAGCTCCAGGCTCACAAATATTCAATAGCTACTTTTCCATCCGCTGCCTTTAAGGTCTTCATGAGGGAAAACACAGGGAAAAGCTTTTGCCGCTGACATCCCACTGACGTGTCAGTGAAAGAAAACAGAGAAGTGGTTACTACTATAAGAAGATTGTGTTTTGCAGAGAAAGCTTTGGAAGCTTCTAATGTTGCTCATATTCCACCTTCCTGGGATCTTATAGAAAACCTTTGAAGATGTTGGGAATGCTTCAAAGCTTCTCTCTCACTTAGAACCTTCTCTAAGATGGCCAGACCCCCTTGGAGACGTACCAATCCAACACCAAGCACCACTTAAGTCTGAAACCCAGCATTTAGTACCAGAGCAAATTAGCTTTATGAACCACAATATCACATTAATCTTCTCAAAATGTAGTTTGCTTAAACCTGTTGCAAATTACAGGTTTTCAATACAGCAGTAATAAATCAAGGGCTGGAACAATAATTACCATATTCCAGAACTTGTCAAATGCAACCAAAAACCCTGTGCAGACTCCACGAAGCCCTTTGAAAGTGCGGATATGGACATTGATTTTTACACCATCTCGGACACAGCGATGAAGTTCCCCCAACGGGCTGCCTTCATGGACTAAAACAGAAAGAGAACATCACCAGTCTGCAACAAATTACGAATATATATATATGTATATGTAGAAATCGACTATGTAAAAGTACGGCAGATCTTGGTACAACACTTGTCTTCAAAGCAAAAGAAATGAGAAGTCCCAGAGCACTGCAACACACTGCGATTGTAATTACTAGATGACTGAAACTCTCCTTACAGTGGGAACAGCAAAGACTTTAGAAAATATGAAGGTTTTGCTTTACATAATGCAAAGCTAAATCAGCCTTAGCTGAAAATCTTTTTGTTACATTTCAAAAACATTCTAAGTAACGCTAATCTTAAATAAAAGTGGTTCAAAGGGAACAGAAAGCTCACAGAAGCAGAGAGCTTGGCAGAAATGACAAATGCCTAGTTAAGACTACCTCAAATTAGTTAAAAATTGTTAATAAAGTCTTGTATCAGATGCATTGCTTTTCTTTACAAGGAGATTTCTGAAACAACAGATGACTCCAAGTTCTTCAACTAATTAAACTGGATCAGTTTAAGTTGATAAAACCTTATTGTTTCAGCTAAAACTTTCACCAGCCAGCTGAACAGCCTTCAAAGATGTACAATTCTTTGGCAAAGAAATAAAATTACTAAAAACAGCAGCCACCAATGAAACCATGCTACACTGCAGCAGAATAGTGCTTTTAGTCAGGGCAAACCCAAAGGAACTCAGTAAAACATACAGCTTACCTGGTACACACAAGCCTTATCTGCACACTAGAAATCTTTGCAAGCGTGCATTACCTAGAGGGGTGGACACTATTTACAACTTCCACCCACACCATAGTGAAGCCATTCCAGCGATGAATTACAGCTACCACAGCTACCTCTTTGCTTGTGCAAACGCAGCCCCAGGATTGCTGCGCAATTCCTGCTGAGAGGCAGGGGACAGTATTGGTCTAAAATCTCACACAGTTCTTTGTATTAATAAAAATATCTAAGTCACAGATGACCTCTCACCTACGTTCCAGGTTTGATCTGCACACTAGAAAATGCATCCTGTGAGTGTAAAGTGTTACTGTATGAAAGCTGATCTGCAGTATTTGGCTGCATGGCAATTCTTAGCCACAGCAGGGAAATCTAAAGCAGTTTCCTCTGAATTAACGTAATCACATTTATTTTTTGAGACCCACTGTCTTCTTCCCAGCTCTCTCCAGCTAGACGGCTGAAGAAAATTGCTTTCACACACAGCATAAGCTGCCTCAGTACCTCCCAGCTTTTTTATGGGGGTCATTTCATTAGTCTCTGTGCTTTCTTCAGCTGAACTGATGACAAACCTATGTTCTGACTTCACAGGTACATCACAGGAACTAGAGGTGACACCATCACTACATCAGATTGATGCTTTTAATCAGAGACCAGTATTTTTTTCTAACCAAACCTGAGAATTTACAGGATCATTTAGATGCCTGTGTGCCTTTTATACAGGAACTTTATCTACAACTTATAAAAATCCAAGTACAATCTTTATTTCCAACTATGCCTTTGCTTGTCGGCACCCCAGTAGGCCTGTTAGAAAACACTACTTAACAGCTCTACCAAATCTAGACAATACATGCTCTTCCCACTTTTCCTTGCTGTGTAAGGTTCCAGCTTCACCAGGGCAAACCTCCAACTTCACCTAATCAAAAGGACAGAACACATAATCCAAAAACCTTTCAACAATCTGACATCCACTTCTCAGAAAAAAATAAAACCAGCAATACAAGGAATTTATCTTTGCAACGTCTCTCTTCTGCAAGCATCAAAGCCTGTAATGACCAGGCTCTGCGTGCAACTAGATTTGCCCACGGCTTTTGATGCTGTTAAGTACCGGCATTAAAAATTTTTCTGTCTGTAGGGATTTTTTTTTTTGGTTTTGTACTCAAAATCCAATCCCTATTTGTATAAAATAAGCACATGCTTAGTACCAGGATTCTGAAGAATGACTAGAAAACTACTGTGAGCCACAGGGCAAGTACCCCAGGAGGGAGAAAATAACGATCCAAACTCTGGTGAAGTTCAAGTCCTTGTCCCCAGGGTAGACTTTATGAAGAGAGAATAAAAAAAAAAAAAACCAAGAGCAAAGCAAGTCAGAGCAGTTGAAATAACTCAGAACACTATCAAACGCCTTTCTAACTGCTCCACAGTAACTGCTTGCGCATGAGTTCTCTGCCCCTTGGTAAATGCAAACTAATTTGAAATAGCATCTCCTGAACTGATCCAAAACAGGCACTGCTAAAGTAGCTTCCTTCTTACTTTTATGGCTACATCTGAAATCATCCCTCATGACAGGCAAAATTTTAGCTCCATTTTACATTTCTAACCCACTGAATTTAAGGAACCTGTCATACGCTGTCACGGCTACCTGAGAGCACAGCATCGCAACTGAGGGACGCAGCAAAACATGTATCGGTTACTTTCAGAGGCAGCTACCACCTCAGAATCCAAGCTTCAAATGCTGGCCCACCTGTGGTGCAGATCGACCCCCTACTTACAGGGAAAGCACAAAATTTTGGCTATAATTTATTCTTAAAACTCTCCAGACTACTGAATAGCACTTTCTATATCAGTTGTGCCAGTCTTCAAAGCCCACACTGTCCAGCCTTAGATGGGTGGATATTAAATACATGCTCTTAATGGAAACATGTCATCTGTTTGCTAGACCACCACTAAAGTTAATTTTTACAGATTTTTTTTTTCAATTTCCATCCCAGTAATCCAAATACAGACACTTTACATTAAGATCCTAAATCATTACTTAAGGTCAGTTCTTTTGGAAAACCTATGCCAACAGAACCTCTGCATTTGTGCAGAATGCTAAGTTGACATGATATTCAGGATCATGCAGCACCTATGGCAACGAATACACGATGTTTGGTGTCTAAGCAAGAAAAAAGTTCTGCTTTGGGCATTCAGAAGTGAATATTTTGGGCTTTCCCTTTTTATAAAAGGAATAGTATTAAGGTGATGCGGGTGATTAGAAGAGATACTTTGGTTCCAATAAACACCCCGTATTTTTAATTCAGTGCACCAAAACGACATCTCATTTGACAGCAATGTGATTTTGTTCTTGGTGTAGGTGCACAAGTTGCACCCTTTAATGTTCAGGGGCTATTATCCTGACTGCATGCATAAATTTAGACAAGAAACTGCTATCATCTTCACGGATACATCACACAGCAACATCACAGCTGCCTCCCACCTCAATCCCCTGTTCTATCATCCTGTTACCAGGAGCGCCAGTGCTGTGTTTATGCCCCCAGGACATACAGTTCGTAACCAAGATATAGCAGTGCGTAACAGACTCACGCTGCGGTTATGATTTAACGATGACCTGCCCGGGCTCAAATCTGATTCTTGGTTTAAAAATAGTACTTTTGAAAGCACAACAGTTTCTCACCCTTTTTTCCTTAAAATCATGAGGATGAACATAATTAACAAGCAAACTAATTAAGAAATAACAGACGAGGATGTCACCGTAACAAAATCAGCGTAATCTCTGAGTAAGCAGTTCTGCGAAACACGCCGTTCCTCATTTCTGCACACAATTTTCCCAACCTAGCACGCAAGTACCATTTTCCACCCAAACTCCATCACTTCCCCCTCCCACTCCCCCCCCGCTGTCACCCAACCGCTTCCTTCCGCCGCCGACTCTCTTCAAACCTCTAAAAACTCCCCCAAACTCCATCCCAACTGCGGCCCGCGCCCGGGCCCAGCCCGCCATCCCTCGACCCCCCCTC